ATTAGCAGTAGTTTGACTTCATGTGTCACGCTGTGCCTGGACCACAATGTCAAATCATATGAAGTCATTTAGAGCAGTGGTACTCAAACTGGGGGGCGGGGACTCTCATGGGGGTCCCACGATAATTTCAGGGGGTCGCCAGATCATTGTAAAACACAAAAAATAATAAAATAAAGCCTAGATTTATCAAATAAATTTGTAGTAGGGCTGTCAAAATTAGAAGTGTATACTTCTTCCCACTCCTTTTTCGAACTTTTTAATATTATGATTCGATTATGCTATATTATTATTGTTTTTTGCTCTTTTTAAAATTATTTTCTTTTGTTTTTATATTTTTTTACCTTCCATTTGTTGGGAATAAATTCAATTCATTCATTCATTTAAAACAAAATGAACGTGTTGATGTGAAGAGATCAATCTGTGGAATGAACACATTTAATGCACAAACAACAGAGTTATTACTCATGCCAGATTAAAAATTCAAATTAGGGGTCACAAGCACAAGCTTATGTTATCTTGGGGGTCGTAGCTCAAAAAGTTTGAGAACCGCTGATGTAGAGGAACATATTTTTCATCGACTCTGTTGTCGATTCAGGTTTTCACATTAATCATTTTAAATGTCTGATCTTCAGTTTTGGCTTAAAGTTAATGAAGAATTTAGCCGCCTGGAGCACACGTGTAGCTAACGCTGTTAGCTTTTACTGAACCTACGGAGAGCTGAGCAGTGAGTGCAGGAACGCCACCAGATCACAGAGAGACACCGTCTGTTTGATGAAGTCCTGTCTTCCATCTGATTCAGCTCCTCGTCTATCACCTCAAAAATACGATCGACTGTCAAAAACGACCTGCGACCGTCCTCATAAAAGTCCACGTGCTGACCCGCCTACATTCAGCTGCTGAGCTTCAAACAGCCAGACAGTGAAACAGACTGGCAGGTGAACGTGTCAGGTCAGCATCCTGGATGGAGATCTCTAATGCTCATCGTCTGCTCCAAGCAGCTAACTTCCGTGTTTCCTTTCGGTCAGACTGAAAACAAAAACATGACTTTTTTTGGAGGGATCTCACACTTGTTGCCTCATTTGTCCTCATTTCATGGAGAGTGCAAAGTAATTATGACCCACAACAGACACACTAATATCAGATCCAGCAGGAAGAACAGGGCCAGACATCCAGCTTTCTTATGGATTCAGAGGGGTTTGGCCTTTTCAATCCACCTGAAACATCCTCCCACTTCTCAGCTGACTGTTTGTCCCGTGAACGATGTGTTTATCTGTGAGCTAATACTGCATTTATACGACATCGGAAAGTAAATATTTCCCCCAGAAATCAAAAGTCACTGCGATGACAACGAGCCACGCAGGAGGAGCGTGAAGCGTGTCGTCAGCGCATCAGTGGGGCAGCTGGAAAGTGTGTTAATATGAGCTACACGGGGCTTATCCGGGATCAGACCTGACTCAACACCCCCCTCCCCGTCTCCACCTCACACCGTAAAGCCCTCCATGCTAACACAGCAGCCTATTAAATATTAATAGATCCGGTGACAGGCGATTAGCGTGTGTGTGTGTGATCGTCGGCGCTCATTGACTCGATCTAAAAAAAGGGCCTTTCCCCTCCGTCATCAGCAGGCCGACTATTCCTACCGCCCGTCGTCATAAATAAACGCTTGTGACGGGTTTAAGATCTTAAACTACTTTGAGTTCATACGACAGCAGAGCCCTCTGATCTGATCAACGTCGATGGAAATTTGATGTGATTAAGACCAGGCAGCCGCCGTCCTGCTTCGCCGTTACATCGCCAGAGGCTCCGGTCCCGTCTGATGAAACCAGAGAAAGTGTTGCTCGTTACGGCTCTGTGATTGAAATGGTGTCGTATTGATCCGTACGAACGCCCTCATGTAAAGGCGGTGAAGTCTTTTCAGAACAAATTTGTAATGACGCCTGTCACGAAACCTTTAGAGAGGCCAAGTCCCTGGAAATAAATACAGTGCTCTGGGTAGGGCTGGGCCGTATCGTAGCGTGCACGGTAATACCGGTGTAATGTTAGGGGATGATGTGAAATTGAAATATCGCGATAAAATTTAAGTGAAACTTGCAGTGCTGTTGTTTTGGTTACATGGAGTGAAAGGCACGGCGGCGACCGAGGAGGAGGCAAATGCAGCGCATCGACAGACACAGTAGGGCTGGACCCGGATATCAGAATATGCAGTCGCTGTGGTGGTGTCCGGGTAGCAAGTTTAAGATCCAAATGTTCGCCCGCCACCCACCGCTACCCTCCCAAGACAGCCAATGGGGAAGCTGCTCAGCTCAACTACGTGGACTTTTCACCTACAAATACCTGTGTACGCATCGACAACTCTTATTATGTGTCAAACCTGATTACAGACAAATTGTGAGATTGTAGATTCTGGTTTGACAACTTCTTCTACACGTTGACAAATCTCACTTCAGACGAACAGATTGAGGTACAGACAGACAACTCTCCATACGCATGGACAATAACGCCCCCATAAACTGGCTGCAGAGTTTTATGTAGTGGATACTGGGCATTGTTATGTTCAGGATCTGTCGGCCCATTTCTATTTGAAATGCTTTTTGATTAAACAAATTGTCAGGAAGCAATTTACAGCTTATGCGCTATTGATTTTGGTACATTACAGCTTTAATGCACATCAAAAACAGCTGCTTGCTAAATGGAAATGGAAACTTGTTCTATTTTTTATTTGCACCAACAAAGTTGTGCAGTTTTAAAGTATTTTGTCTGACGTCGATTGTTATCGCAAATGTTCTCATTTATATCGTGATAACTATTTTTGAACATATCACCCTGCCCTCGCTCCAGGTCACATTTTTCTTGATTGTGGGCTCATTTTTTACTTCAATACAAAGTCCTACAGCTCCATGAAGAAGGAGAGAGAACTCAGAAATGCCTAAAAAAGGGGCATTCTTTATTTATTGTAGAAAAGCAGAAATGACCTGGACTGAATTTTTAAAAGTGCCACCAATGCTGCAGAACAATGGAGGCGCCACATGTTACAGATCCAGACAGACAGAAAGACGTTTCACTGTGCTGAATGTGTCCTCTCTGTATACCGTATTTCAGACACGCTGCATTTATTTTCCTGCATGTTTTATTTCCCCCTCAGTCTTTAGTCGTCTCCTCTTTGCTCTGCCTGCAGTTCAACCTGAATACTACATTGTTTTGTTCAGTCTCTCAGTCGTAGTTAGCCGATGGAGCTCAGATTTTGTTCAGTTGTTTGCAGGATCTTTGGAGAGTGTATGAATCAGACATGTAGAATAAAGGGATTTAAATGAGAGTATCATGTTTTTAAACTTAGATTTGGCTAATTTTCCCGACTTCATTCATGATGAGTTCAAAGACCGTCCAGGAACTCTGGAAACTCTGATGCCTCTTTAAGTTTTTATGATATATATAATTATTTTAAGCCCATCTGTTGAAGATCCAGCGACTCTTTCTGCTTTTACAGGTTTTGTCTCTCAATCAGTTTTGGTGATTTTTCTTTAGGAGAATGTTTTAGGGTTCAGGAGGTTTAATTCTGAGTCTTGGAAGCTCACCGGGTTTTATTATCTGCGATTCTGTTCACATTCTGACCATGATTTAAGTTGACAGTTCTGTGGTGTTGTTGTTTATGTCGAACGCGTGAATCTCCACACTTCATCCCACGCCCTCTTTCCCTCATTCACAAATCCCACTGACTCATCTGCTCGTGTGTCGCCGGGCGGCGGGAAGTGAAAAGCTGCTTAGCGCGCTGACAGAAAGCAGCGACGACAGGAAACGGCAGATCATGGCCGCCGTTCCCGTCAGGCCTCTCTGTGTTTGTTTGGCCGATCAGAGGGACTCGGTGCTGCCCCTTCGATAGCTCAGTTGGTAGAGCGGAGGACTGTAGTGGAGAGAGCAGGAATCCTTAGGTCGCTGGTTCAAATCCGGCTCGAAGGAGGTGCTGTTTTGTTTGCTCTGTGGTTTAATAATTCACCTACAAGGCAGCGCGGACAGATTTCTTCTCTCGGGTTTTAGTTAATAAGCGCCTGAACGCAGCCTCCTCAGCGTTAACTCGCTCCCCTGCGAGGACGGTGAAGGCTGCAGCTCGACACACATCTCAGCTCACGTGTGAGCCTCCAGGCCTCTCAGTGTCGTCTGTAATGGGCTCACCTGCCTCTGACCTCCAGCTCAGCGGCTGTTCGCCGTCACTTGGCCTCAATAAAAGCACATATAGAGCCTCTGAGACGGACCACCGCAACGCTGCTTCACATGCACATGTTCCCCTCTGAGAATAAAGACGGCTTTATTAACCGGCGAGAAGATCTGAATTCTGTACAGTTTATTAAAAACCGTCTCTCAGAGTCTGTACGTGTGCTGCGTGAGCTTCAGCCAGGTAGAGATGATGATGATGATGATGATGATGATGATGGGCTTTGTGACGAGGCAGGTAATCCCCAGCGAGCAGCTGTGTGACGTCCATCTCTCTGAGCTCACTGAGCAGATGGAAACTCCGTGGATTAGCTCGCATAAACACACACAGCGCCGCCGAGTCATCCGCTCACTCCTCAGCCTACAAACACAGTTGTGAGACGCAGAAGGAAGCAGGACAAGCAGGTTTTTTTAGTCTTTTTTTTCAGCAACATTCATCAACTTTTCACTCTAGTTTTGCTCCTTTTGGAAGTATTTGGGTAAACAATCCAGGAGATCCTAAATAGTTCAGCTGTTTTCTGTGTCGCTGTGTGAAAATGACCATCATCAGATTCTCCGAGTGAGTATTTGAGCTGGTTTCCTCCAACATGGGAACACTTTTTGATTTCTTTCCTCCTCTACGACAGTGAACTTATTCTCTAATATGTGTGGACTGAACATTTGTCGTGTCGGGCTTTGGAGAACGCTGACATTTTCAACTTTTTCTGGCATTTAAGAGACCAAACAACCGATCAGTTAATTAAAAACTAATCATTTGCTACAGTGGATTAATCAGTGTGTGTCTTCTCCTGCAGTGTGCCCACGGTCCCGGTGAAGAACCTCAACGGATCCAGCCCTGTTCACCCTGCTCTGGCCGGTAAGAACTCACAACACTCACAACAGCGATCACAGGATGACAGGACGAAGGCGGACAGTTTGAAGACCCTTTTTCTCGCCGGCTCAGTCTCTCTCTCTCTGCTGTATTCCAGGGATCACAGGAATCCTGATGAGTGCCGCCGCTCTGCCCGTCTGTCTGACCAGACCGCCGAAGCTGGTGCTGCATCCTCCGCCCGTCAGCAAGAGCGACATCAAACCGGTGCCGGGCTTCGGCCACTGCTGCAGGAAGACCACCAAGAAGCAGGCTCGCAAGGGTAACTTTGATCCCTGACATCAAACCTTTTGTCAGTTAAAGAACCCGTATTGTACTTTTTTGTTTTTCTTCCTTTCTTTGGGCTCATTTTTTGGCCACAATAAAAAGTTCTGCACTTTTGTGGAGGCAACACAAACATGACTAAGTCATAAAAAACGGAAAACTGTAGATACTTGACTATTTTTACAAACCTTCTCTCTCTGCTGTGCTCATCAGCTACAGACAGATGTTTCACCATGCTGAGTGTATCTTCGGTTACTGTTTTTGAGCCGTGCTGTGTTTATTATATTGATCCAGTAGGTTTTATTCTCCTCTCAGCCTCTCTTGTCGTCTCCTCTCAGCTCGGTGTAATCGCTGCCTGCACTTCACCTGAAAACTCTTGACTGCTGGTCGCAACTAATCAGTCGTGGCTTCTCAGTAGCGCTGAAAAATGCAGAACCTTTTGTTTTGTAGTATAAAGTGATGCCTAGAACTTAAATATTCCACTTTTTGAGCTTACTTTTGGTTATTTTTTCTGACAGTACAGCGTTTCACACGATTGGTTCAAAAACCATTTGTTGAAAGACAGTTTTTTCAGTTTTTACAGTTTCTGGCTCTAATAAGTGTTGTATTTTTTAAAATCTTTTTTGGTAAGAAAACATGCTTTTCAAACCCACCAACAGGTTTTGAGGGTTAAGGCATGCAAACGTGTTTTAATAGACCCCCCAAAATAAAAAGATAAACCTGTACATGTGCAGACTTTGGGCTCTTTCAACATCCTCATATCTTCTCCTTGTGTGCAGGTAAAACTCCAGAGGAGGTGGTAAAGAAGTATCTGCAGAAAGTAAAAAGTCCACCAGAGGAGGTACGACCGGCCGCCGTGTCTTCAGCACAGTCGTGGTCGAGATAAAGCAGAATACGGTTTTCATTTTCCATTTCTATGGGTTTCTCAGGACTGCACCATCTGTATGGAGCCTCTGGGGGGTCCGTCTGGGTACAAGGGCCCGGGAGTGGGGCCTGTGTCCAGGGCGGAGTCCGTCGGGAGACTAGCACAGTGTGGACACCAGTACCACTTCCAGTGTCTGGTGGCCATGTACAACAACGGCAACAAGGACGGCAGGTGAGTGAGGAAACGGGCTCGTCTTCTTTGTCCCGTAAGTTTGAAGACCATCGGCTGAACTTCCCTCCTGTCCTCTCAGTCTGCAGTGTCCCACCTGTAAAACCATTTACGGCGTGAAGACGGGCAACCAGCCGGCAGGGAAGATGGAGTACCACGTCATCCCGCACTCTCTACCCGGACACCCGGACTGCAAAACCATACGCATCATCTACAACATCCCACCCGGCATTCAGGTACCCCAGAACCCGTCTCAGTATTATTATTATTATTCTTTAGAAAATGGGGGCAAACACATGTCAGCACAAATGTCTGTGTCCAGAAGTAGAGCTGCAACGATGAGATGATTAATTGATATTTAGGAATTCTTTAAAAATAAAAAAACTCTCTGACTGCAGCGTCACGCTTCAGTTGACCTCCAGTCTGTGAGATCAGAGCGGAGCGTCCCTAGTTTTTATTTTCTGACAGTAAACTAAATGTTTTTGGGTTGTGGACACCTTGAGCTTTACAGACCCAACAACGGATCGAATAACCAAGAATGTAATCAACAGATTAGTGGAAACTGAAGATAATCCTCCCCAGCAGTGGTGTTTTATCCCAACGTGCCTCCCCGCTAATCGTCCTCGTCTTGTTTCAGGGACCAGAGCATCCGAACCCAGGGAAGCCCTTCACTGCCAGAGGCTTTCCCCGACACTGCTACCTCCCAGACAGCGAAAAAGGACGCAAGGTGAACACAAACTGCCTCCCTGTTCCAGACATCCCTTCAGCAGACGCACACTTCTTTGTAAACTAACCTGTTGCTCTTACTAACCAGGTACTCAGACTGCTCCTGGTAGCGTGGGACCGCAGGTTGATCTTCTCAGTTGGTACTTCGAGCACTACAGGAGAGTCCGACACCGTCATCTGGAACGAGGTAGCGTTAGACTCCAACTGCTGTGTTTCCATCTGAACATTTGAAGTATTGCTTTAGAAAATCATCATTATGTTTGCTTGAGGCGGTTTTAGAGCAAGACTAGGAGATGGTAGCGCTCAATTTTTTTGCTTTAATTTCACTTTTCAAACACTCAAACTCCTCTGGCTTCTCTCAAAGGTCCACCATAAGACAGAGTTTGGCTCCAACCTGACGGGTCACGGCTTCCCCGACCCCGGACACCTCGACAACGTCCTGGACGAGCTCCGAGCTCAGGGCATCACGGAGGACGACGGCCTGGTGGAAAAGTGAAAGCTACGACCGGCGGAGACGGAGGAGACGCCAGCGAGAGAACTGCAAAAAGGTGGAAGCAGAGGAGGAAAGAAAAAATGGAGGAGGTCCTGGACTGAGAAAGACTCTCTCTGCCAGCACTTAGAGGGACGTTTAGAAGATTTTTTGTTTTGCAGAAGTAACCACTTGCTGAGATGTCGTTGCCGGGGGTCGCCTGTCAGTGCCAGTCTGTCCACAGTTTTTCAAGAATCAACAGAAGTGAGTGGAGGTTTGAGGAAGCAGCAGCAGCTCAGAAAGAAAAACCAGGAGAAACAAAACAAACAAACAAAAAAAGGTTTTAGCTAGGTACTAAATGACAACGGTGAGAGTGAATCGGTACTAATACTTAGGACAAAAACAAGTTTACTTTACTGAGAGAGAGAGTGATTTAGAAAAAGATGGAACCATGTTAGAGCAGTTCATTAAAAACAGGGAGAGAAAGGACAAAGGGAAGAAGAAGTTGGAGGGGTTTGGGAAGGAAACCGGAGAGAGAGCCGAGCAGAAAGAGAGAAAGATGGCGTACGGACGTAGCGTAGGATAGGAGTAGAGTCAAACTAACCTGTATGGTGCTTTCTGGTACTTGAGCTATTCGATAAAAACACGAGGAGCGGTGACGGACGGACGGAGGGACTGAGAGCTGGCTTTGTTCAAACCACCCTTGTGGTTGTTGCGCCCTCTTGTGGGTTTTCCGGTGAACTGCATCGGGCTGCAAGCTGCTGGGAAAAAAAGAAAAAAGAAAAAAGCAAACACAAATATCCCTTTGAGTTATCCACCTGTGTTACTTTTATCATTGTTACTATAACCCTCATTTAACGTCATTCCATACTTTACCTCTCGATGGGTTTTATACGAGCTGTACGTTTCTGACTGTGTGTGAAATGACAAAAGACCAAACCGAGGCCTCGTCTTTCGGGCCCGTTCGGAGTCTTACTGTTGAGCCACTGTGGTACGAGTTAACCTTAGATGCACAGGTACCGGTGTTCTTTGTTTTATCTCGTGGGTTCTGGCGGCCCACGAGGAGCTGTTTTCCACTGCAGGAGTTTTCGAGGGAACCTTTGAGGAACCGCCCCCTGTAGAACTTTTCCACCTCCAGGTACTTCTGAGCAGCCCTGACAAAAAAAACTAAAAACAAAAAAAACGCTGAGTGGTTAAACTCCTAGAGGACGACGAACGCCTTAATGTCCTCGTCCAGTAGCAGGTTTCTCCTCACTCACATCGCCATCGTCAAATTCAGACCTCCGTTGTTCTGTTTTTTACATAGAACTGAAATTAGTACGAGAAAAAAGGTCCGATTACAGGGCTGCTGCTCTAAACTTGTTCCTGCTCCGGGTTCCTGCAGTGGAAAGCCGCCGTATGTGTCGGTGGATGGAGGAGCTGTTGAAGCTGGAGCCTCTCAGGCTGGGCAGAGGGTTGGAAGGTTGAGGTGGAGGACGGAGAGGAGAAAACCAATACACAAAAACCTGCAAAACACTGCAATCAGTACAACTTTAGAGGATCATTCTGGTTCATTTTACTCTCCAGTAATGTCGCGTCTCTGTGCTGACTTTACATTCTTCACCTTTTGTTGTAGAGATTCAATAAATTGAGGACTTGAGCCGTTTTTATCAGGCCAAAAAGCTCCAACCTGTTCTAAGTTACTCAAAGCTTGTGTAAAATGACAGTACCTTAACCAAAACGAGTCCAATGTCCTTTAAATGTACTCAAAATTTGTTTAAAATGGTGACTAGGTGACTCGGAACCCGTCTAAAATAACAGAAACTATTCAAAATCAGTGAAAGATTTATTTAAAATGACAAAATCTGGCCTGTGTGGTTTACAAGTTAATAAAAACAGGGATCTGAAATGAGTTATAATTTGTTTAAAATGACTCAAAATTCATTTGTGATGACACAAACCTGTCCTAAATTACTCAACACTTGTCTAAATGACATAGGCCTGACCTAGGTGACTCGGAACCTGCCTAAAGTTACAGAAATGAATCTAAATTTGTTTGAAATGATCAAACCTGTCCTAAATTACTCAAACCTCGTCTAAAATGATTATTCAAAATTTGTTTAAATAAAATAAAAAACCTGAAATGAGTTGCTAACAAATGAAAAAGGGATCCAAAATGAGTTATAATTTGTTTAAAATAACTCAAAATTTATTTGTAATGACACAAACCTGTCCTAAATTACTTGAAACTTGTCTAAATGACAAAAACCCGACCTGAGTGACTCTGAACCCGTCTAAAGTTACAAAAACTTCTCCAAAGGGAGTCAAAAATTTAGTTTAAAACGACTAAACCTGTCCAAAGTGATACAAACTGTCCAAAATGAGTCAAAGGTTTGTCCTAAACATGTGAGAACATATCCAGAAAGAGTCCAAATGTTCGTAAAATGACTCCAAATGTGTTTAAGATGACAAAAAAAAAAACCAACAGCCCTTAGTTGAAGCTCATCTAAAGTGGCAAAAGATGATGCAAAATGAGTCAAAATTGGATTAAAAATGGCTCAAACTTTGTTTCACATGACAAATACCTGTCTTAAAATAAAAAATATTTTAAAAAATCTGTAAAAATAACTTTAAATTGCATCAAAGGTTGTTTAAAATGACAAAAGTCTGACTTAGGTTTCTCAAAACTTATCTACATTGACAAAAATCTATCCAAAACGAGTCAAAGGGTCGTTCAAATGGACTTAAACGTAACAAAAAACTACTTCAAAGTTACTTAAAGCGACTCCACATTTGTCCAGAATAACTTACCATCCCTGAATCTTTAAGACGAAGGAGATAAGAATGATCCTTGAGCAGCTGATGGAAAAAAAAACCTTGATTTAATGGAGGCTGAATAACTTCTACATTACCTGAGGTGATGCTGCATTCAAAGTGGCTGGGAAATTAGCATGTCTGAGATCTAATGAGGAAAAATCAAATCAAATGCTACCAGAAATTGAAGCGTCGTGATTTCGTTCACTCTCCTGCTCTTGTCTCTGCCTCCAACCCGCCGCCCAGCCTCTGAGTCGGGTCAGTAAATGATGTTTTATCGCAAAGAAAATCTGTGTTTACGACCAACAAGCTCCCAGTTCAGGCTTCGCTTCGGCCCTCGTCCCTCCACTGACGACGATGATGATGATGATGGTACTCCTACCTTTATTATGTTCTTCTTTATGAAATGTAGTCACACTTGCTTTTATTAGCATCTATTTTTTTGACACTATCATAGAATAAATTGCCTTTTTGTTTTTTTTTCATTTTGTACATTTATGTCGTATTAATTATGCCCTTTTTCATTTGTTACAGTTTGTTTACAAAGACAGTATTATTAAATACCGTGTCTTTTTTGTTCTTCTTCTCTCTGTGTGTACAGACGTTAAGCTGATTCGCTTCATCTTTTCTTTGGAAAAGGAATTCGATGGTAGACTTTTATCTGAGTGTGACATGTTATGAATTTTAATAGAAAGTCCTTGTACACTTGCTGTTCTGTTCATCTGTTCTGCACGGAGCCTTTGTGACCGTGCAAGGTTCCACAGACGATGTCTCGGTGGATATTTTACCCCCAGCAATTAAAAAAAAAAAGAAAGAAAGAAAGGATTATTTTACATCTTGTAAAATGTTTTTAAAATCCCAGATTCCCTCTTGTGTTGTTGCAGTTTTTCTTGAAAAAGCTGCCCAAAGAGAAAAGTGGGAAAACACTGATTTTGTACGATCAGTTAGTCCGGTTGATCCTAATTTGTCTTTTTGTTATTAAACGAATGACTTTGAATAAAATATTATCACTAGTTTTATTACTGTTTCTTTTAAACTGGGTCTCAATTAAGCTACCTTTCTGTTCTAAACGTGCATTTGTTTCGCCATCACCGTTTCCCATCCCGGCTGACGGCTCCAAACGTGGACACTAGCCCTCCGCGGCATCTTTGTCTGTGAAGAAAAGGTGGGGAATAATGTGATCACAGGTGCTGGTACAGGAGAGGCAGAGCATCGGAACATGAGGAGAAAAACAAAGTGTAAATACTGCAAAAATAATTGCTGGAGTATGAATGATTAATACATGACAAAAAAAATAAAGAATGAATGAAACTTACTGTTTGTGTTGGTTAAATTTTTAGTCGCCTTAACATGCAGGACATATTTTTGACACACAGCTACCTGGAAATGTGTCTGTTCCTTTTGCTTCCCAAAAAAAAATTATCTGCAGAAGCACTTGAACGCACCCCTTCGATAGCTCAGTTGGTAGAGCGGAGGACTGTAGGCGCTTAATGCAGAGATCCTTAGGTCGCTGGTTCAAATCCGGCTCGAAGGAGGAGCTTCCTTTTCAAATGTATCACCATGACAGAAACTTTGATGTCCTTCCCAAGCTTACAAAGATTTGCTTCGCGATGATTTAAATGCAGTTTCTGCTCTTTATAAACAGATATATGCTTCTTTTAACATTTCACATGGATGACTTGTGCACATGCGCACTAGTCAGCATTGGAAATGCATTAAAAAAAAAAAAAAATGAAACGTAGTTCCCCTTACTGGTAGGATTTGTGGATAAAATCTGACATACATATGCCCGGAATTATCTTTTTCCTAAAGAATTTTTTTTTTACGGAGGTAAGTGAACACATCCCTTCGATAGCTCAGTTGGTAGAGCGGAGGACTGTAGGCGCACATTGCAGAGATCCTTAGGTCGCTGGTTCAAATCCGGCTCGAAGGAGGAGCTTCCTTTTCAAATGTATCACCATGACAGAAACTGTGATAAACTTCCAAAGCTGAAATATTTCCCGTTTGTTTCGCGATCACTTAAATACAGTATCTGCTCTTTATAAACAAATATATGCAGCTTTTAACATTTCACATGGATTACTTGTGCACATGCGCACTAGTCAGCATGAGAAATGCTTTTTAAAAAACAATGAAACTTAGTTACCCTGACTGGTAGGAGTTCATGAATAAAATCTGACATACAGATGCCCAGAATGATCTTTTTCCTAAATAATTGTTTGATTTTGTTTACAGAAGCACGTGAACGCATCCCTTCGATAGCTCAGTTGGTAGAGCGGAGGACTGTAGGCGCTTAATGCAGAGATCCTTAGGTCGCTGGTTCAAATCCGGCTCGAAGGAGATTGTTTTCTTCCTCCCACACATTTCACCACCACAGAAACTCTTCTTTCCTCCTCTCCAGGCAAGCTTTTACAGATTACGTGTTTCACATTTTACTTTAAACACATTATCTGCTCTTTATTAACACATACATCCTTCTCATGACATTTCTGTTTCTGTCACCTTTTTTTCCAACCCGGCTGAAGGCCCTAAACGTCCTGGGACACCGGTTGTCTAAGTATGAATGATTAAAATAAATAAAAACATAGAAATAAATAGATAAATAAATAGAATAAGCTTGTCTTGGTTTGTTGGGGAAGCGGGGATTTGATTTGATTGTCTGATGTCGCTTTCCAGGAGAGAGGAGGGAGCAGAGGTAACGCCCAGGGTGGGTGGGATGAGCGTGTTTTAGTTTCCCGAGAAAATGCCCGAATCTACGGACTCTCGTGAACACACCCCTTCGATAGCTCAGTTGGTAGAGCGGAGGACTGTAGGTGCTTAACGCAGAGATCCTTAGGTCGCTGGTTCAAATCCGGCTCGAAGGAGGGACTTTCTTTTCTCATATCCTCTTGACAGTAAACTGCTGTGACAATGATTAAATACTTTCCATTTCAAGCTCATTTAGTCTCTCAAAATCTGGTGTTGACAGACGTGGGGGTTACGTTTTGAATTATGTTTCCACAGTAGGTTGTTTTTTCAAGAACACTTCTATTAAAAAACAGAAGATTTAAATATTATTTTGTTTGTTTTTGTGAGTGTTATACATATATTTCTATCATTTTCTTTACATATTTTGTTTTTGTTTATTTAAAAAATGCATATCAAACAAGAGCTCGAGTCGTAAGAGTTTAAAATCATTATTTACTCCACATACATGTGCTCCTTTTAGATAGATAGATAGATAGATAGATAGATAGATACTTTATTCATCTCCAAGAGAAATTTATAATTTTAACATTTCACAGCATTGCTTTGTGGCACAAATGATTATTACATGACAAAAAAAAAAACGAGGAATGAATGAAACTTAGTTTTTGAGTTGGTTTTGACATTCAATGACGTACACTTTCCTCACAAAAGAAAAAAACATCAAGAAAACAATCGTGAACGCACCCTTTGAAAACGAATCCCATCAGGCATTTCAATCAATTAAAAACCAATCGCGTTAGGAGGCATATCTTTTCAAAGCCAGTTAAGATGCCAGCTCAGTCTTTTGAGAGCAAATTAGCAATTAGTGTATAAAAGTAGACAACAAGTAGAACACGTCAGTTGCTGAGTTGCCTTTTTCCTTTAAAAAAAAATCTACGGAGGGCAGTGAACGTACCCCTTCGATAGCTCAGTTGGTAGAGCGGAGGACTGTAGGTGCACATTGCAGAGATCCTTAGGTCGCTGGTTCGAATCCGGCTCGAAGGAGGGTGTTTCTTTTCACCGCCACTGACATTTCCACATATACATTTCGGAAGAGAAGCTTTCTACTTTCAAGATAAAATTTTTAAAAGCTGGTATCTGCTCTACATAAATACAGATGTGCTTCTTTCAGCGTCGCACAGCGATGACTTGTGTATCTGTCCACTGAGCGACACGCAGCCTTCGGTTCACTGTGGCTGAATGCGGTCTAGAAAAGAGAGATTTAATCGAGGTCGTTATGCACTGTGAAAGAAGATGGATTTCGCAAGCAGCGTGTGTCATTCGAATGTTTATAAATGCAGTACATGTGAAAATTCTAAATAATACAAATTAGAACTCGATAAAAAAAAATAGACCGTTCCCTGACCGGGAATCGAACCCGGGCCGCGGCGGTGAGAGCGCCGAATCCTAACCACTAGACCACCAGGGAAAGCTACCTTTCTATGTGGGGTGTAATGATAAATAGTTGTTTGCCCATATATGCCCATAATCTGTATATTGATTTGTGATGACAAATTTTACTCATTTGTTTTATTCCCTGCTAGAATAAACTTGTCAACTAGAAAATTCACTATAAATGAAGATTTGGCAGCTATGTGAATAACGTGGTGCTTGCAGAAGATGCCCTTTGTTTACCACAGCTCCAAGTCTGAGATGATGACGACTGCGCATGCTCCTCTCCTCAGGAGTTTGCGGTTGCCTAGTAACCGAGGGGCTTCGTTCTTTTTTGCCCCCAGCGATACTGAACCGGTGGTAAGTAAAGCTTTAACTCAAAATAATAATGTGTTGTTTAGAAGAACACTTGTCTTTCTTTTAAGTGTTCAATAGCAAACCTTATGTGTCCACCGTTTTTACCGTCGGTTAAATGTTTTCCTCGACCTGTCTATCTGAGCTGCTACATGTATGCTAACTGACCCTGTGCTAACAAATCATCGTTAACCCTTTCAACACCAAGTAACTTTGGCTTGAAACACCCTTTCAACACACATCGAAGGCAAGCAAAAACAAATAAATAAAGCAAAGGCAAGCTAACAGAAGTACAGTATGTTTATCTACTTGTGTCGCTAACAGCTAACCACATAGAAGTATGCTAACTGTCTACAGACCACCTGTTGTCATGTCAGGTGCGATGCAGAGCGCAGGAGATGAGGAGGAAGGCTCCAGCCGAGATGAGAGAGACACCAACCCGCAGGATGAAGGTGACAAAGCCGCAGAAGACAGAGGAGCGGCTGGACCAGCAGCTCCAGAGGTACAACGTGATGTCTGAGGACTCAGGAGGCATGAGGCAACCTTTATTTTGAAGTGTTCCTTCACTTTGGTAAACCTTTATGAGTGAACCAGTAACAAGCAGCTCACTAGCAACCAACACAAAGCAGTTAGCACGAAACTTGGGAGCTGTATTTGATCAATATTACTAAGTTCAATCACCACATTTAGAGTCTTGCTAAATCCCGCTATCAACAAGTTTTAAACGGTGCCAAAGTTGAGCCAATGCTCTCTGAAAACATACTTAAACAACCCATTCATACCCTTGTTTTCAACCTACTGTAACTCATTGTTAACTTGCCTAAATGATGCAAAAGTTGGTTCAAAACACAGAAAGCTTCTTGCACGTAATTCCAGTTCTACCTTAACTACACTGGCTTTTCGTTGTAGAATTTAATTTAAAATTCTGTTCACTATTTTTATTTCATGGTCTGGCTCTGTTATACACCTTAAAACTCTCAACCTCTTGTTCTGCACCTCAAACCCTCAGATCAGAGAATCAGCTGCTGTTCAAAGTTCCACAATCCAGGCTTTAAAAAAAAGAAAACGAACCATTTTACTGTTTGAGCTCCACTGCTGTGGAACAAACTCCCCCTTACTGTCAGAACAGCTGAGTCACTGGCTCGGTTTAAAAAGCTTTTTATTTTTACACACTCATCGTACAAAATGGTGCTTGTATAATATTTTATAATGAAAATGTTGCTGCTCATGTAGTTGTGTTGCTCTTATGTTTTATTGTCTTTTCTGATGTTTTGCTGTCTTTTTAAAATCGTTTATTGTTGCTCTTTTTTGCAAAGCACCTTGTAACTCCAGTTTCATAGCTGCTATAGGAATAAAGTTGATTATTGTTGCTATTATTATGGACGCGTGTCAGATATGGATGCTGTGATGTTGCACTTGTATTGTAGTCTCTACTGTTGGATGTAATAAACACTAGTCAAAGCTTAAGGTTGTTGCATACAGTGTTGGTCATGTGAAGTCAAAAATGGGGAAATGCAGCGTGTGTCTAACAATGCACATTGTCTAAAGCTTTACTCAAGACCTGCATTCATTCTTTCTGTGTCGCAGCGTGACTCACAGGATCAGTCAGCACCACAGTCTGATGTCGCCATCCCTCAGCCTCACCCTGACATCAGTACAGTGGATGAATACAACCCTGCAGCCAGAAATTCAGGTAAGTCACACAGTAAACAGTACAAAACAGCACAGCATGACACAGCATATTGCAGTCCAATACAGTATCAGTGATCCTTCTCAGGGAGAGCAAACTGCCAAGTGTAGTCAAGTAATAAGTGCAAATTGTATCTCTTAGGTGATGTAAAATGGTTAATTTAGGCTGGTTTGCTCAGGATCTTTTATTTTAAAGGTGTTTTACTACCTTTTCTTACTCAGAAAACCACAGACGTCTGTATCCATGTTTTGGAGACAGTTAGTGATACACTCTGGTTCAAGCTGCAGATACTCAGCCATGGTGCTGACCTGCTTATTTTGCTTCTCAAGTGTTTTCCAGCTTATAAAAAAAATACCACATGGACACACTGACCGGGTAAAAAAGGTCCATGTTTAAAAGTTCTCATAATTGTTGACATCTTAATTTCTTGATTGGTTAAACAATGTGTTGGATTTTGTGTGTTTTAGTTCAAGAAAATGATGCTCATCTTATAAACCTAAACGCATCAGAGGACATGGAAGGTCAGGAGCCACTTCCAGAGGATGAGGAGGAGGAGGAGGAGCTCATCGTTCTTGACCCTGAACATGTCTGTAGCTTTTCCTTTAATACCTTCACAACTGATGCCATCAGTATTTGTTAAAGGAATAGATTTTGTCTTACTGTTTCTCAATTAAAAAATGGTGTTAATGTCTCATTTGTGTCTAGTATAAAAGTGTGTTAGTTCTATTACGCTGAAAAGTTAGCTTATGTTTTGCCATAAGTGGGAGCTCAGGTATCTCTGCAGCCCTACAAAGGCTGTGTTAATTCTGCACTGACATGAATGTACTTTCATTTACAGACACATGCTGCACAGTCAGTTCATAAACATTATAAAACACATCTTGCACTTCCACTGTTATCTCATTAATGCTACTTTTGATTTGTTTGCAGCCACTGGTCAAAAGGCAACAAGCTGCTCTGACCACCCAGCTCAAAAAACATCTGGAGAGGATCAACCTGGAACTGAAGGAAAAGGTTGGCTTCTTTAATGACATAACACCATCAGCAGCCACACTGAAACCACGGACCGGTGACATGAACAACATTGATTATCTCATTACAATGGCATTTATGAAGGGAAGAAATGTGTCAGGCAGCAAGTAGACAGTCAGTTGTTGAAGTTGATGTGTTGGAATCAGGAAAAATGAGCAGCTTGAGGATCTCAGTGACACCAACAAGGGCCAAATTGTGATTGCAAAATGACTGGTTCACAGCATCTCCAAAATTGGGCTTCTGGTGTATTCCCAGTATGCAGTAGCAAACACCCACTAAAGGTTCTGGGAAGGAGGGATCAACCAGTGGACCGGGTCACACTGGTGATGATAGAAAGGTGTCAGAGCACAATGTATTACAGGCAAAATTTCACGTTATACATCCAGAAGATGGTGCTGTTGGTATGTGTGGTAATCAGATCTGTAGCTTTTATCTTGGCCTTTGTCCTCATGCAGCAAATTCATTTCAATGCAAAGCATAAAATTATTACATCAGTGAAGTTACCATGACAGAGAATGTGTTGATGACGAAAATACAGTGCCTGAGACGCCGACAGAATGATTGAGTTGATGATTTGTTTTCTGCTTCCCCTCTGGGCTCCCTCTCTGACTGTCCCAGCGAGCAGTGGAGAAGACGGATGACAGCCAAAAGCAAGAAGCCAGGGTTGAGCTGTTCAGGGTCCAGAAGCAACTGGCCAGACTGCAGAACAAGCTGGAGGACCATCACCAGACCAAGGCACACGCTGAAACCGAACATCAGCAGGCACAGGATCAGCTGGAGGCTATGAAAAGCCACCATTCCCATACTGGCAGCCAGCACAGAGAAGCCAAAGCCAGTGGTGAGACTCGTTTGTCATTTGGTAGTTATGTCTGCCGCTGGTCCAGAATTATATTTCATTTTGTGTTGCAAATTCGCTTTAATGCCTAAATAACAAATCTGATCACTGATTTAATACATGAGGCCATCCCATAATTGGAAATGTGAGAAAAAGGTTGGTCAAGTTAGGCCTGTTCTGCAACTTCTGGAGAAAATAATATTTCAGGTTTAAATGTTTACGCAAAACTCAAACCTACAATTAAAAGATGAAATCATTTAAGCTAAATTTGAACTTATTAGGGACTTTATTCTTGTGACTGCACAGCATGCTTTGTGTTAAAAACAACTTCTTTTTTTGTTTTGTTGTGTGTATACAATGTCATTTAAACAGCAGCAAGACAGCATCAATGTGGGTTCATGTTTCTAAATGACGTATCTGAGGTATTATGTTAATGTTGACTCCTGTAATCTTCTCTCAGTGTCCCAGCTCCAAACAGAGTTAGACGACGTGATGCAACACCTCATCTTCACGCAAGGCGTCAGTGAAGATCTGCACTCTAAAGTCAAAACCATGAACAATGTCAGACACAAGGCAGGAGCTGAGAAAACTCAGGCAGAAGACCAGAAAATGAAGCAGGTAGACAGACTGAAGATGGACACATAAAACATCAGATCTTCTACATTTTGATTGTGTCATGAATGATCATTAATTAACTGTTACTGATTGAAAAATACTCCTGTGTCACTAGGATATGTACGTGGAGCGTCTAACAAAGGACATGGAGGGGTTGACGCAGCAGATAGCCATGTATGAAGCTCAGGCCAATGCTCAAGCAGAGGAGACACTAGCAGTCAAAGAGGCTCTCTCTGAGGTAACTTTTGTATGGCTTAAGATAGTACATACCTGTAAGATGAAAGACTTGATCTTAATTAGTAAACAAATACTTAAAATTAGTGCACTTATTAATAGTACAGTGGTATAATATTATAGTGGCCACTCGTGTGCACCGGTTCTAGCTTTAAAGAAAATAAATGATCTCTTATAAAGTTGCTATAGCTGGCAGGTTAGCGATCTTACGTGGCCACACATCCAAGCGATACAGAGCAATATACTTATTCTTTGTATTTCTGGCCACATAACTAATGTAGGTTCAATATTCACTCAGTTTTTTGCTCTACTTTGATCTAGAACTCCTGAGACGAACATCTGACTCCTTCGATGCTCAAGTCTCGCTTTTTTTAACCAGGTCATCATTAGAGCTGTAACAGTGAATTTTTAGTTGTTTGTAGAAACTTTTAAAGAAAAGCACAAAAATCTGATTCTGTTTCCTTAACTTTGATTATTTTCTGTCTTCTTTGCTTTTCTGTGTCAGTAAAGCGAATGTCTTCGTGTTGTGGACCAAACACGACATTTGAAGACATCATCTTGGGCTTTCAGAAACATTTATTGAGAAGTTTCACCATTTTCTGTCTGACTGTATAGACCAAACAACTCATTTATTAACTGGGAAAGTCATGGAGAGATTTGTTTACAGTAGAAATAATGGTTAGCTGCAGCCCTTGAAGTCACTGACTTTGTTTTGCTGTTTAATGCAGAGCAGGTAGCTTGCCAGACTTTTTTTTTTAAATAGTGAGCTAAATGATGCTAACTGGCGTTGTAGAAATACAGCATCAAATGATAATTATGTGGGAATTCATTACTATGAGTGGCAGCTTTCACTTTAAATCCACTGTGTTATTGTAAAGAGATTGATTAGTAAAGCTTTAAAACATTGACTTTAGGCAACAACTAAAAATAATCATTGTAGCATCTGCAACAACTAAATTATTCTAGAAAAAAGAATAACACCAACATGGAGATCTATTGTTTCCTTTCATTGATTGTATTTAGAAGTGATGACCCAGATATAAGATTTTATGTACATTCTCTTGCAGACTGAGTATGATGGTTAAATGTCGTCAGTCTCGACACCTGTCTATTCACGTTTGTGTCTTTGTGCAGGCTGAGATGGAAACGGAGTTGCTGCTGATGGCACGTAAACAGCTGCTGCAGCAGTGGAACAGCAGCCTCACGGGCATGAGGAGGCGAGATGAGGCCTTCAACGCGATGCAGGACGCCATGCGGTGAGAACGAGGGAATGGGAAGGCTGAATATTAATGTGCTACAGATTCACTTTAAATGCAGTCCAGGTGTACGTGCAGCAAATGATGTTCCTCTAGGAGACATGTTTCATGAATGGTGTCTTAGGGAAGATGTTTCCCTGCAGTAGTAGATTTTTTGGACTCCACACCATTATGATAAAATGTTATTTGTATGTCTACTTACATGAAAATATGCAGATTAGTGTAAAATACAACACAATGACTTTTTTATTTAATGGGGAAAGGTAGCAAAAATCAAACTGAACGCATACATTCTTTCATTTTCCTCTGCTGTAATCCCAACAGTGAGGTCGAGCACCAGCTCATGTTGCTGGACAGAGAGATTGAAGGCTACAAGAAATCCACCGCTGCAGAGCAGGACCAAAACGAGACACTGACTATGCAGCTGAATTGGTCTCAGAAGGACTGTGACAGGTCCAAGAAGCTGATCAGTCAGAAACAGGCTCAGCAAGATGCTCTGCTGGCCCATTACAGCACCTGCCTCCGAACTCTGCACCAGACAGAGCGAACCCTTACCACGCTTACAAAGGTAGACAGAGGGTAAAAGCTCCTGTGTTTGTCCTGAGAATAGTCCTGTTGCAATGCCTTACTATCCACTCTTTCCTTCTGTAACTGCTCCACGCTCTGAGTCCTGCTCAATCACTCTTCCATTACTCCTTTCCCTCGTTTTTCTAGGAAGCCAGTGCACACCAGGCTGAACTGAACGACCAGAGGAGGCAGCTGGAGAAAGAAAGTTCTGTGCGCCTGGACCTGGAGAACAAGATCGTGACCAGCATGCAGCAGAAGCTCACTCACAACACGGCTGCCGAGTACTCCCAGCGGCTCACCAGCAAGATGGCTTCGCTCAAGAAGGAGAAGGAAAGGCGACATTTATGTCATTGTATTTGCTATGTTATTGAATAGATGCTGTATGTTTTCAGACCTTCAGTTTCAAACTGGGCCTGTCGTAGCTAAAGGTCTACTGCAACAATTCATTATTAGATTTATATAGCCACAAAGTTGGGGGAACTCAGAAGAGATGGATAAAAAAAAAGAACATTAAAATATGAAGCAGCAGCTGAGTTTTAGTGCCTCAGACTCTCAAAAGCTGGATTCCACAGTGGCCCACTCAAGTGTTTGTAAAAGTGTGTTCATTTCAGTGCATTAGCTGACAAAATGTCAAAGCAAATGTGATCAAGCAGTATGTAAAAAAAAAAAAAAAACACCTAGTTGTGACTTTGCTCAAGATTTGTTTTCAGCTGTTTAGGTTACAGAAGTGTTGCCTTTAGATTCTGTAACAGCTGCGGTAAAAACGGTTTCAAGTCACTGTTTCTGCCAGAAAAGCTTTCAGTTCATCCACACTAACAGCCTCGATGAGCTGACAGAGGAGCCACAGCTGGAGTTCATTGCATTACTGGTAGAAATGTTCCACTAAGTTTGACAATCAGAACTTTTTCAAATACTTTGGTGCCGTACGGAGGATGTTCATTGTGTCTCAAGTGATGAAGTGGTTGAGTATTCGTAAAAAAATATCTGTTTAAATTTTTCTGTTGATTAAATGCCGGTTGTTATATTAATTGTTAATATACTAATTTTGTAAAATTACCTGACGAGCCTCATGCAAGTTTCTTTTCCAGCCCATTGTATGTAAAACATCACGGGATGCTGAAGAACTTGTGCAGTGAAAGTAAAATTTACTGAAGTTAAACGATGCAAAAGTACTACAGGCCAACAAACAACAAAATGCAGCGTAGCCTAAGTATAAAAATATATTCCATTTTGTTGTTGCTCACCATCTCTTTCACCCCTTTAGACGTGTCAGCTGCAGCAGCTGGAGAACAAGAGACTGACAGTGAGAATGGAGAGCCAGCAGGTCGACCAACATGTGAACAGCTTGGCCACCACCCAGCAGGCCCTGGACGAGGAGCTTGCAAAGTACAACAAGTTGCTGACCTTAAACCAGAATAAGATTTCTTCATTTTATGTACTCATCGACCAGAAGCAGGTGACAATCTCCAACTTGCAAGCCAAGATCTGGCAAATCGCAGCCAGCACTGGGGTGAGAGAATGTCTGGAAGCATTATTCTCCAGTTGTCTGTTGTTAACGTGGATAAATCAGTGACCTTCACAATCAGATGTAAAACTTTCAGGCTGCCTTTGTGTCATGTGCGTCTCCATTCCCAGCACGACGACCTGAGTCCTCTACAAATTAAGATACAAGCAGTCGTGGGTGAGATTGAGGATCTGGCGGCGAACATCCGGAACGACCAGCAGGTCTGGATGAGACAGCAGGGAACACTGGTGGGACTGACCCAGGAGATAGAGTCCAACAGCAGGGAGCTGCTCAAACTGCAGATCGAATACACTGAAATGCAGCAGAAGAACATCTGCTTGGAGAGTATGCAACACACACAAGCAAGCACATGCACTAAATATACAGTCGGAGTAAGTTGTCAGCAGATTATAGTGGTGGGTTGTTACTGAGCTTTAGCTAGTAAAGTTTAGAAATTTTAAGTATTAAACAGTGAAATAAAACCACTTTAATAGTCAAACCATTCACAACTATTCTCTACGCTTTAACTACTTTGAAACATCTCCAATCCCACCAGGTCAGATTGAATCAGAGCGCCGAGAGGAGAAGGAGCTGGAGAAGAACGTGGAGACGCTGAAGAGAGACTTGGTGAAACTCAGCACCCTGCTGAGTAAAAAGGGACAGCTGAGCCAGGCTCTGGAGCAGGAAAATGCGCTGACGGAGACGGACTTTGTTCTCAGACTTAAGGTACGACATCGTTTTATTATGTTTAACGTTGTTCTTTTCTGCCGTTTTATATTAAGTCATTAACTTTCCTGTGACGTAATGTTTTTAGGAGGCTGAGCGGGGATGCATTGAGGTGCAGATGAAACTTGAGGAGATACAAGAAGAAAAAGAGAGGCTACTCTACAGTCTGGTGGAGGCTGAGTCAGTCACATGCTTTTTTCTTCTTCTTGTTTAATCTGAGTTTATATCTCTCACAAAAAAATGAGACCAATAGCTTATTTAGAACAAAACTAACAGTAGCTCATGCCAATCTGGCTTTGTCATTCTTTCTAAATTTAAAGCTCATGTCTCATATATTGGGTGTATTCTTTGTGCATTTGTTGAACAAGTGTCCTGTGTTGTGTTCCTGTTTTTGCATGTGTTGCCTGCAGGCGACAAGTCATGCTGTGGGAGAAGAAGACTCAGCTTCTAAAAGAGACTCGGTCAGGTGTGGACTCAGGCCAGGGAGAGATCCAGACGATGAAAGCAGAAATACACCGTATGGAGGTGAGAACGGTGAACACAATATGACTACGTGGAGAGACAAATACAGTAATATTGAGTTCTTGAGTACTTGTTTGTACAATGTACTGTACATACATTTATGCACATATAATAGCAAACATCCTTGAATAACTTGTCCGACTTGCTCTGATATATATGGTATTGTAATAGCTTCTCACTGCTTTGTCAGGTTTGCAGACAGACAAAGCTATCCTGTCTGAAAATAGGCTCCAGGTCAGACATTTGGATCTTGTAACAAACATCCTTTTGTTTCACCTATTTGCACTGTAAAAACTAACAAGCTCTTTATATTTGGCTGCATAAATCTTTTTGAGACAACACACGGGTAAGGTAGCGAAAAGATTACCTTGCATACTAATGACCTACTTTAGATGAAAATCAGTGTCTTGTTGTTGGAGGCATGATGAAGAGTGAACAAAGATGCAGCAGGGTAGATTGTGTCAAGGTCAGCATCTTTGCCACAAAAATATAGCCTCCAGAGTTATTCATTATTATTCATGTCTTTATCGGAATTGTATGGTGTCCTTGTAGCCCTCATGGGGAACCACTGATTTATATATTACTTGCTCCATTTTGGGCAACTGTGCATGCATAGAAATTAATGTGAACAAAAGCATTGTGCTTTAGGTCATGCAAAAATGGACTATAAGAAAACATAAATAAAGGATAATGGGGATTTAAATTCATGATTTGTGCCATATATTTGCATTAATATCTTTGGACTGCATGTGTTTCTATAGGTGCGACTCGGGCAGCTGAGGAAGCAGCAGGAGCAGCTGCTCAAGGAAAGCGAAGCAACGGTGGCAAGGAGGGAAACCATTGTGCAGCGCAGGGAGGCCATGATCCACAGCTCCCACAAACGGATCACGAAGGGCGACCTGTCCCTCCTCATCCAGGGCCTGCAGCGCAAGATTCAGGAAGCACACAAGGTGGGCGTAGTGGATTTTCCATATCTGCAAAAATGTCCAGAGGATGTTGCACAAGTATCTTATATGTAGTGTGTTCAGTGTGCAGCAGATTGTGAGCGGGCGATCAAGGAGCTACAACAGAGCCAGGTGAGTCTGGCCGACAGGCTCACGCAGCAGAAACAGCAGCTGATGGAACTGCGCAGCACCGGCTACATGCTCGACTCTGACATCGACAATCTCCAAGACACCAAAGACAGGGTGAGGAGCACATACCGTACCTGCTGCGTTACAATACGTTTGTACGTTCCACACATTCATCTGCTTTCAAAGGTTTTGCTGTTTTCCTGAATTACGGTGTTTTTCGTGTGTGTGACTGATACTTTTCTGGCTTGAAATCTAATACAGTAAAACAGTACACCCCCTTCATTCTCCAGGCATTGAGTAACACCTGTTGTGTATCAATCAAGTGTTTTTTTTCACCTGCAGTGTGCGCTTTGTCCTTTCTCAGTAACTCTAATGAAGGTGTGGCGAGAATGTCTCTCAAAGTATTTTTACTGGGTCATGCTGACTTCGGCATCACAGTTTCCACTCATGGAGGCCACTCCTGCAAGCCCAGAATAACAGATACAACTTCTCATTGTTTCTCCGTTTTCTGTGATCACTGCTAAAAGTAAACAAACCGATAGAAGTACAAAATATATCATATCACACGTAACACCTACACTAACTGTCTGGACCTGCAGCTCATCTCACTTTTATTCAATCTATATTATTTAATAACTCTTACATTTACAGAATCATACATATTTGCACCTTTGCACTTACTAAGTTATGCACCTTGTATTTATTACTCTAACTGCACGTTTACATACAGCTGCACCTTGTATGTCGTTTTTGCAGCACTTTAAGCTATGCTTTTTAGTATATGCTCATAAATGTGTAATAAGCAACAGTTCAACATCACTTACACTACTGTTTTTATACTTTCTACTACACCAGATAAGGTATCTTTAAAAGTTTTTTAGATACATGTGATTTTTCTTCTAGATTTTTGTATTTTATTTTTGCACATCTTGTACTGTACTTCAAATTTTGTGAATTAAATTTAGATTTTGTGAGTGTACACTGTGGCATGGCAACAGCGGAATTCCATTTTATTTTTTTATCTTTCCCTCCTTCCAGAAACTTGCCCACCTGGTGGCTCTGCAGAGTCGCACCAAGAAGCTGCAGGCAGCGTGTGAAGGCACCTACCAGGCCTTGTCCAGCAGCGAGTCGCTGGGAGCCGCCCTGCAGAGCCAGACGGAGCGAGTGCACGCCGTCAGCACCATCCTGCACCGCGTTTGCGAGGAGTTCCCCCAACACCAGGAGGCGCTGCGCCAGCTGGTCCTGACGCTGGCAGCACATACACAGGCGCCAGAGCAGGACACGAGCTGAGAGTCAGGGGAAGATGTAGACGTGACAGTGAGTACAGGAGAGGAAGTGCAGAGACGGAATGTGTGTAAAAACGAAGTGAAGATAAGAAGGAAAGATGAGATCACTAATGTCTGCTTCGTTTGCCTTTTCAATGGAATTGTACTGTTTAATTATTTTAAAGTGCATGCTCATTTATGGTTCATCAAAAAGTGAAATGCATGTAGCATTGAAGCGAAAATGTTTTATTTTACTTTAGTTCACAGTTATTTGTGTTTCCTCAGTGACAAAGCCGGATATTTGAAATCCTTTGTATATCCAGTGAGTTGTTGTTCTAGCTTTTGGTATGATTCATGCCTACAACTGCAATCTGTGGCATCAAGGAATCAATTATCATTTCATAGTTGTGACTGTAATTTACCGATGATAATTAATAAAGCTTCTGATGGTGGCTTTTACCAGCTGAGCCAAACAGCTGCAGGCGCTTGCACATGGCAGCACATTGACTGTACGTGATTTCAGCACGTATAATTGTGACTCTCCTTCGAGGTTGGCCACCTAGGTTTCATCTGTGCAATGCTGTGGAACCGGCTCCTCAGAATGTGTCTATTAGGACTTTCCATAACACCCAGAGGCACCTGGCAGAGTGTCGCCGCAGCAGTACATGTGCCGGCCCTGATGCATGGAAAAACGTGCTGATGGTACTGTACAAAGAACAGTTTCGTCTTGCTCAACTTACTCCCTCATTTACCAACTTAGATCTAATCTCTGACACATCAAACGCAGGTTCAGTGTTGCGATACAGATGATAATTCTTTATACAGTAAAAAAAAAAAGAAAAAAAAGTAATAGTTATATTTAACAATGGGTTTTTTGGGCATGACTGTGTTGCGTGCAGTCATAGAGCAGCACAAAAAATCGTTTTGTTCCAGGTTAACAGGTTAACTTAAAAACAGGTCTCACATAAATATTATATTGAACAGGCCCATCCTTGTGTTATTGTTCTCATCTTCAACTAAATGCAGAAATAACCAACAAGATGTATTGTTGTGTAGATGTGAATGCTGGGTAATACTGGGTGTTGTTTGCCTGTGACGTCCCATCCTTAAACTTCTCTGTGTCATCTTGGCATAAATGAGACTTGCGACATGTTTAGTTAAACAGTGATGGTAAACCACCTCCCTGTTACATAACCTCCGTCTTCAATTACAGATCAGGTCTAACCAAGTTCGTATGACCGGATTAATACCATGATTTGAAGGCGCTCTCCCTTTCATCTGCCACGTTTTGACATTTTAGCAGAACATGTGCGCTCGTATAACACTGCTAGCTACACTACTACAAGAAACTAAAGAATCCTAAAAAGAAATCTACATTCTTTACACGCAGTTTTTAAAGCTGCAGTTCTACCCATTCACTGAGACAGAGACTTTTCAGCCTGCATTAACTACCTGTAGTTACTACCAACACTGTGATTTATTTATTTATTTTTAATTCCTGAAAAAAACTATGAAAATCTGGCAGCAAAGGCAACCGAAAACATACGTTAAGAAGTGGTAATATACTGTAACATTCAAAAACTGAAAATACCAGCAAACATCTGTAAAATATTGACATTTTTAGTGGGTTTAAATACAGGAAAACTGTGTAATTTTATGGTCACACGCAAAAAATGAATTACTATTTATTGAAATACAGATGTTTGATGTGGATGTGAAGTACAGTTTTGGCCTGTCCAGTCAGCAAGTAAATAATTTTTTTAATGCAATTGTAATAGATGTCTGTAATTTCACAAAATGGGAAAAATCTGTACAGTAACAGTTAAAAACTATTATTTTTTCAATCTTTAATGTCCTTTTTTACTCTTTTAAATAATGACACATACCTTTAAAACAGCGATATTGTTTTCTGATTTAAATACAGTAAAAAAAAACTAAAATAAAAAAAGGTAATTTTATGGTAAAACATTGTAGAAGAACAGTGCATGTGATATATTCCTTTTGAAAGTGTCTAAAGCCAGTGGTGGACCACCTGCATTTTTCCACTTTGCACTTGTGCAGATAAATAGGAGGGAAAGGAAAGATATATTTTTGTCTAGATAGTGGTTTTGCTCCACCACTTTTATTATTACTGTTCTATTTCCCTGGTATATTATCATGCATGTTGTATGGGGAAATTCCTAGTAGTCTTCAGTCGTCCTCACTGTGTCAAGTGATATGAGGGAGATAAGCAATCTGTGTATTGTTGACAGAAGCCGGTTGGGTTACAGCGCACCGGATCATGTACTGTAAACAGCAGCAGTTTGGAGCTTTGTAGATTCAAAGCGGGGCGAGAGGATCGTATTTTGTTAATTGTCTGACCAGCTTTCTAATCTGTCATCTTTGTCTGTGGGAAGAACGCCACATCATTTTATGAGTCACAGTTTACACGATGTGAAAGTTGCAACTTACTGGCTTCAGCCCCCCTGATCAACAACCACTTCCTATCCTAAACCACACTGTTCAGAGGAAACACAAAAATAGGTCTGCGCCGTGCAGCAGTTTCTGCACTGTGATTGCTCAAGCTACACACAAATGTTATCGTTTGAAATCTCTTCTGTCATTTTTAGGGATATTCTTACAAGGCATTTCTTTCACTGCTCATATTTCTCATAGCTTCATCTGTCTCCGACATCCTCCAGTCTGTCTCCCTGTTTATCATTTACATTATGTTGCTTAACATCTTCCATTTGTGTGCACAAGGCCTATAAAATACAGTACAGCGGGTTTACACACACAAGCAGTAGGTTAGCTCACAGTATGAGGAACCCTTTGACCTTGTACTGACAACAATGCAGACTCCAGTTACGCCCCCCTACCTTATTTCCTTCTGAGACGGACTTTGCACTTGAGCGCTCAGTGTTTGCTCCCGTCAGCAGCCCGGTATGTGTGTTTGCCTCACTGTGATTAGGAATTATTAAGGTTGAACTCACACGTAATGTTTTGGTGTCAATGAGAGGCTTTGTTCATTACCAGCTGCAGTCGTGCTCCACTCTACAAACAAATCTGCCTTCACCCATTAATAAAGCCAAGCAGAGGTTTATGATGTGATTAGATATTGAATTAGCTGTATAAAGCAAACAACAACTGTAAAGCCACCCAGAGTGTGAAAGAAAGGGATATGCAGTAAGTACCCTGCTTGACTAATGCTTCTGGAGTGTCTGATATGTGATTGTGTGAGAAGCAGCTCTGTTTGCGCCAGCATGTGGTCAGACTCAGCCCATCGACGCTCTACATCAGAGAGGTCTTGTCTTTCAGGTTTTCCTGCACGCCCACACACAAACACATGCTTTGACATAAACACCCACGGGGCGTGGAAAGAGTCCGGCCCTTTTGCTGCACTTTCTTTGCCTCTTCCCGTCAGTCTGCGCTTCTGTGTGCTGAGGCGTTGGCTCCATCTGCTTCACCTGTGTCCCAGCAGCAGGCAACAACGACTTTTTTAACACGCTCGAGATGGCGGGGGATTTTGTTCTCGAGGGTCCAGACCTGAAGGAGATGGGCGAGGAGGAACTGTGGGAGCTGATTAACGACAATCGCCACCGGATCTCCTTGGGTGTGCGGCCGTGCATCGTGATCCCGTACCTGAGGCAGGCCAGGGTCCTCACCGAGATGGACGAGGACGAGATCCTCTCCTGCCACAACCTCACCAACCGCTGCATGAGAACCAGTGAGATTTCTTTGATTGATTTGTTGTTTTATGGATTTTAAGGAGAGCTGTACTCTGCCTCAGTTTTCTGTCTTCTTTTACTTCACCTGGTTTGTTTACATCGACTGCCGAGTGCATCGCCAAGAGGCAGAGGAAATTCCAGCAACACTTTAGAACAAAAATTTATTTGTATAACCAGTATGTTGTTCTGCCTGACGGAGTTTCAGAGTGCGTTTTCCACAACACAGTTCCTCAAACTTCTGATTGTAATTTTCGTGTGATGATTATCTTGTTTTCATATTTCTCATAAATTCATGACACAAACACTTTAAACTGATATCCTCTGCACTTTTGTGGCTTGATGAAGTCGATTCAAAGGTTAGATTTGGGGTTAGGGATGATATTAGATTGTATTTTTACTGTTTTTAGGCTACATGCTGGATCTGCTGAGGACCCAGGGGAGGAACGGTGCTGTGGCCTTGCTGGAGAGCCTGATGATTCATTACCCGACCCTCTACACCCAAGTCACCGGACGCAAGCCCAGTACTGAGCCCTCAAGATTCAGTGGTCAGTGCTTTAACTTTCTATACATTTTAAGGGAATATTCACCTTTCTGTGGTGCCTGCTATGTGTGAACTGTGCTGCTCTCCTCCCAGGCCTGATAAAGTACTCAGAGCTGACTGAGTACCTGGTCAGAGCAGTGACGGGGATGCAGAAGGAGCTGCAGGAGGCTCGCTGCGAGGCCGGCCGGATGAGCGCTCGCTGCGTCTCCCTGGAGTCGGAGATCGGACAGATAATGGAGCAGGAGGAGAAGTCGAGATGCCTCCAGTCCGAAAACGAGCGAATGCAGAGATACTTGTGCTCTTTGCAGCGTGAAGTGACCAAGCTGAAGGATGAGAAGTGCGACTTGTACATACGCTACACGGCAGCCATCGAGGAACAAGCGGCTGTGAACGAGCGGCTCCACAACCTGAACCTGCAGGTCAGTGATGGTCACTCAAGTCTGTTTTGCGCTTTGGGAGATACGCAGAATGACCACCTTTTTCCTGCCTGAGACACAAAGCTGTCGTCCCCGGGGAAGGTCGTCAGAAGGCCAGTGTTAAAGAGCTGAAATCTGAGCGTTGGAAAGTGCAAATTTAGGAGATTCTGCAGTGTCCAGGGAGGCCAGATAATCACAGCCTGAGAAAACAGTTGTGTAATGCCTTTTGTGGAGAGACAAGAGACATAACAATATAAGCAGATTTTCAGCACAAAGCCTGTTTTACAAAAAGGGGGCAGGGGGTTTTAAAGAGCAGGCAGATACGGTTGAATGAAAGATGCTGTAGGGAATAAAGGAAGGTGTGCCTGAACCTTTTCTAGTGATTTTACTTAATTGTCAACTTGTCGTCTTCCAACTTCAGGTTCAAGGGACATTTATCACATTTCTTCTGAAACCATAAAAAGACCACTTTTTTATATGAATACAAAACTGCTGCCATACTTTCTAAACATGTGGCTCAGCGTGTGAGGATGAGAGTCAGATGTGAAACTGAACATCGCAGTGGAAGTTTTATCGGACTAGAATTATAACATTTTGATTGTGTTCCCCAGAGGCACTGCTGAAATTTTTTGCTGGAACAATTAATTGTTTAACAAGCATTTTTCTATAACTGCGAATAATCAGCACTGAAAAAGAAATAAAGTATTTTTGAGGGGAAAACATTCTTAGACTTTATTTATTAGGAGTTTAACAACTGACAGTCAGCTAACCAGCTTAATCTATACTGTGTGAGTGTGGCTTGGCCAGATCTGATGGGTAATCTGAGATAACAGCCTCCAAACCAGTGACAAGATTCTGTGTTTGTATAGGATCACAATCGTCACAAGCAGTAAGAAACCGAGTCACTATTTATAAAGTCAATTATAGAACAAAAGAAGTGCAAAAGCTTCTCAAATATGTAGGTCAGCGCTGGTTTTGTCTTAATTATACATTTAAAACCGGTCAGAGAACGCAATCAGAACCCTCACCTTGGACTCTGATGAAAATGGGCACTTTTGGACATTTCATAGACATTCACATTAATTTGTTTATCAGTCGCAGCCCCTTTAGTGTTGTTTGTCTTGTGTGGTGGCAGGTGTATCAGCTGCAGAATGCCCAAACAGAGACCGACATCCACAAGAGATCGCTCAGGTGTGTTTCCACTCCAGAGACGCCACAACTGCAAGAAGAAGTCAGAAAGCTGCGCAGCCAACTGGCCAAGGCTGAGAAACTGGACCCGGTGAGACTAGCACTTAAGCTTTCTGTATTATGAGCTGCTTTATGTGGACTGACAATAGCTACTTGTGTGTTTTTGTGTTTCATTTGCTGTCGCCGTTGTTTCCCTGCCAGGCTCGTCAGGACATCCTGGCCCAGGACCTGGCGGAGGCCATAGATAGCCAGGTGGAGCTGGCCGCGCAGCTCAGGTGTTACAGAGAGGAGAATGAGCAGCTGCACAGAGACAAACAAGGGGTATGTGCCGGTGTGGATTCTGTGTTGCTGTCATCATGGATCAGGAAATGTCATGCAAATTCAGCCAAATAACTATCATGGAAAGTGGCCTTCTAAGAGTCACCCTCCTACCATGACGGGCAGAAGTCTGCAGCCAGAGGAAAATGTCTAATTAAAGCTAATTGTTTTAGAAATGTTTAGTATTTAAAAACTGGTAATAATAATGTGAGAGTTTCTGTCAGCCAGCAATAATACATTAAAAAATCATACAAACTTGTGAGTTAGTAATGCTACTGTTCTGCCGTACATTGCTTACTAGTGTATTAGAGCATTACTCATCAAACCCTGTACATCCTTTTGTGTGTTTTTGTGTTCAGCTCATGGATCAGAAGCAGTGCCTGAGCCTCCAGGTGGACCAGCTGACGCTGGACTGTAAAATGCACCAGCAGAAGAGCACTTTAATCCAGAGCCAGATGAGAGAGCTCCAGGCAGAGAGAGACCAGGTAGGGAGCTGCGAACAATCCCATCACTCACACTTTCCTGTCTGTGGTAAACATGAATTCAGTCCTCCAAGCGGCACTTTTCTGTTTTGGCTTTTACTTTTATGAGTAACTGGAACTGATCTGCCATCTTGTTGTTTGTTTTTCCTGTTGAAATGTCAAGCAGTGCCATGTCACTATCATTGTAGAGTATCAAATATCAACCAACTCTTTTGGCTCTTCCTGTCTGTCACCGCAACAGTTGTGTGTGTAGGTGTGTAGTGTTATGTCAGTTTAACAAAGGACACAAGGTGAACTCACTTCTGCTGGAAATTATACTGTTTTTCTAAGTGAGCAGTATTCTTAAAATAAAAGCACAGTTTCCCGTGTACCTGAACATTGTGTTTTGCTGCACCTGTCTCTGCCATGCAGCAATGATTCATGTAAATGATACCTCCTGTATTCACCCTCAATTGCTATTAAAAATATTCAAAACACCTTTGAGAACGATATGAACAATACACCCACACCTTAGAAACTGTCAGATGGCTTCAAGCTGCCACCAGCTCCACTGGAGCTGTGCACCAACTGACGGCACAGAATTTATTTGACGACTCCTTGGTGTAATTACTGGTTGGTACTTTCTGTATGACGTGTGACACACGCAGGATCTGCATGAGCAACGTTACCTTGTGTTTTAAAAGCCTTGCAAAAACATCTCATACCTGATTAAAAAACACCTGAATTGGCCGATTAGTTGCCATGTATTATATGTACAGACAGATTAAAAATCGAAATCTACATTATCAATTGCATAAATATTCGCACCCTTATGGACTCACCTAATGTGACACAGGTGCAGTACTAGAGGTGTAGTGAATGTGTCTCAAGTGACTGTAGTATAAAGACATCCATGTCACATCAGAGCCAGACCTTAATCCAGCTGAGAATTTGTGGCAGGACTTGAAAAGGGCTGTTCACTTGTGATCCCTGTGCAACTTGGCAGTTTTAGCAACAAAGAATTGGGTAAAATTGCAGTGTCCAGATGTACAAGGCTGCCTTTCCACACAGGCTCAATGCTGTTATTCTTATACAATCACTTGTTTTACACTGATTTTATATTTTTAATGAATTGACATGACTTTGTAGGAATCTGTTTTCCCTTTAACATGAGTCTTTTTTGTAAATTCTAGTCAAAAATAAATAAATAAATAAATAAATATTTTGATCATGATTCAATGTGGGAAAACAATGAAAGTCAAGGACTTCCAAGAGTGGTGAACACTTTTTATAGGCACTGAATATGCTGCTTTTTGGCTTCAAAGTCCAATCAGATTATTAGTTTGTGTGTGTTATGTACTTATTTATAATTATTTTCTTTTATGGGCTTTTTGCCTTTATGAGCAGGACAGTAGAGAGAGACAGGAAAGGGGGAGAAGGATGGGGAAAGACCTGCAGCAAATGGCCGTGGGCGGGAGTCGAACCCACGACCGCTGCGTCAGAGACTGTAGCCCCTGTATGTGGGTCATCATCTTATCTGGTTAAACTACCAGGATGCCCGTTATGTGCTTATTTAGTTTACTATTGTGCATTACAAACAATGACAGATATACAACAAACTAAGTTTCTATTATCTATTGTTCCAGAGTTTTGTTTACAAGAATGTGCTAAAAGACAGAAGCGTGTTGCCTCCTGACGCCTCTTTGACAACATCCTGCATACCACACTTCTTGTTGGCAGCCAGCTCGCGCACAAATACTTCTTCATTCAAACAATCCCTGCCTAAAATGTGCATATCTACGTTTTAAGTTTCCAACGGCGCGAAACAAGTTTCACCATCGTGGAGACATTGTGTTTTCTACATGAGGCGCAAACTTGGCACAATGGTGTTTGTCTGCATGAATAAGGTGTGTCTGTGAGTCAGTTCTGTGTACACTAAGAATGATCAATTTGAATGGCTCTTCTGCTTTTAGGCATACCTGTCCAGAGACGAGGCCCAGGCCATGATCGCCCGCATCCTGGCTGAGAAGGACACCCTGAGGTCCCAGCTGGTGGAGCTGCAGGAAAAGGTCTTCAGCCTCCAGGCGACGCGCAGCTCCAAACAACAACGGCAGAGCTCGGATGTAATTTTGCACACACGTGTCAGCGTGCACACAAACACAACGCATACAGAAAGGTTTTTTGTTCATTGCTTGCTTTGTGTCGGTGGAAAAGGAGGCGGAGGTCGCCTGGGAGAGCCCGAGATCCAGCTGTGAAGAATTCCAAGGTCCAGCTAGACGCAGACTCTGCCGCAGTAATGCAGTTAATCCCTTGTCACTGAGTCCCAGCAGTTCAGAGGTGAGTAAGTGTGCGAGATTAGCCTTAACGGCTGGGCAGTGAGCAATGCTTTCAACAAGCTTAACAATGAATGCTTGGTCACATATTTCTAGATCTAAATCATCACTTTAATTTATTGTATTTCCTTGTAAATCTAAATCTGGCAAAAGTTGTCTGTATTATCAACAAATACCATGAGATGTTGTTAATCTTGCCAGAAAGTACCGTCTGTGTCGTCAAAGCATGACATTGTTCATTCTCCTGAATGTCCCAAAGCTGTTATTCCAACATTCATGATTTACGATTTTGCCGCAGTTAACTTTCGTCTCGGTTACATCACTTTCTTTTTTTACAGTATCGATTTTAAATTTGTATTTGCACACATGTGTAGTGTGAAGATGTCGCAGCAAGTAGCGTCCGATCCCGAAACGCTGAGCCGCCAAGCCCAGAGTCCATCCGGCGGAGGAAGGAAGCTTTATACGCAGACAGCAGGTGTGTCTGTGTTTACGTACTGTCTGTGTCACTGTAGGCATAGCTTATATTTGGATTCTTTAATATAATACACGTCATTCCCACCAACTGACAAGGATGTGGGGCAGCATTTTAACAGACTCCCAGAAGGAAGGATGAATTTAAGGTGTCACGACCTCTGCATTCCTCTCTGCTGCTGTAAGGTTTCAGGTGGATTATTGATTTACAGCAACAAGAGGGACTAAACTATATGTCACCTGATTCCAAAAAAAGACGCAAATGAGTGCGTTCAAGTGTAAAACATACAAAGCAGAAATCTGCAAGCAGGAGGAGCCTGACGAATCCTATTTAAAGCACGCCGTGAATAGACTCTGCAGGTTTTTCTACAGACTCAGATTCCTCCATTATTGTGTTAAAGCTTCAGGCAACTTTTGTGATTCTATATGTGCTGACAGAAGTCATTACAACCTGTAACCGGAAAACCAGCCTGCGTTGTGGCATGACATGATAGTTACCTCACATCCTCATGAAAGTCTGACATACTTAATGCTATTATTGAGTGTGCACATATCTGTAAGTGCAGGAAAGAGAAACACACGAGCTGAATCTGTGAGTGGCGTTTGTGTAAGTGTTTCTGTTTTCTCCTGTAGCTTGGAGGCAGCAGAGGCTGATTATCTACTGGATGACTTTGTGTTCCTGCCCAGTGGTACGTATAGAAAACATGAGCTCACTTTAAAGGAGTGTTGGTGTTTCTGTGCAGAGCGAGCAGTGCTTTGCTGATGTTTAGCTGGGTCCTCGTTAGCTTTTATACACTGCTGGATGTTTTCCAAGACTGTAAAGTGACACATTAACCCTGGCATATTATTTCCTGGGAAACAACCCTGATGCCAGATCATTAAACAGCTTCTCTTTTGTTTAGTGGGCAGTGAAGACAAACAGACACCCAGGCTTTCCTCTTCTTGTGGCTCCAGCTCGTACGGGTGAGACAATCCACCAGACGAACATCAACACAAATCAACAGCTTTCTGTGACGATGCATTTTTGAGATGTGGAACAGATGCCAGTTTACATGACTTTGCGCATTCTGTAAACTGAAGGGCATTCATATGCTTAAGGTCAGTCATGCAGTGAATGTAATACAGGTTAGCACAGAGGATGGAAGGAGATACAGGAGGCTGGTAATCAATAATCCGCAGCTGGTTAATTGGACACAACATCCCTGCCCGTTAGCCATGTATTAACTTAGATTTAACAATCATTGGTGATATAGGATAAACTATAAGAGCACATGCAGGTTAATCAGAAAGTGGGTCACTTTTAATATACCAGCATGCAGATGTTAAAATACTGACTCCAATAACACCTAGTTCTCTTTGCAATAACACAGTGATAATTCTATTATTTATTAAGCGTATACTTATATTCTTATTTTCCTAGTACAATATACATTTACACAATTTATGCTTATGCTTTTCTACTTATGTCTACATTTTGAGGACATATTTTTCGACTCATGTTTCTCTTGTATTTTTTCTGCTGCTTGAATTTCTAAAACTTTTAAAGGGAACAACTGTAAAAAAAAAAAAAAAAAAACAGTTTCCCCTCAAGATCAATAAATCATTTCTGATTCTGATTTAAAGAAAAACTCCTGTAGCAAAAAATGGCCTCTTTTTAACTACATGCTCACAGATGTTTTTCTTTCATCTTGCAGTCTGCAGCCCCAGCTAGTGCCAGTTTTTTTTTTTTATGGCGATTATAGCTTGTTTTTTTTTTTACTCAACTTAGATGTCAGGTTGAGGAATTCATACTGCGCTGAGTTTTATCTCCCAACAGTACAATGTGCTCAGCCACCCCAGTCAGCTGGTTGACCTCAGCCCAACAGAACATCTGTCGTTCTTGCAAATGTAAACGTGGCTGCAATGTTGTTCTGGCAGCGCATCACCAGCAAGATGCCAAGTGTCCACTAATATCTGTGGGTCACTGACTTTAGAAAATGTGTAGAATTTGTGGATACATATTCAATATGGCTTTATTTAGAATGACGTGAATTTTCTAATGACATTTGTGCTGTGAGGTGTGAATGGACACAGCTGCAACATGTAGGCGTTTACTGCTAATGTTACCAAGCTGAGCCCCATCGGAGCAATTAGTTTTAGCAATTGTTGCTGACGGGAATGTGATTCTTTTTGCAGATATTTAACTGATTAACGGAATTATTGGGCAAATTTAAAGGGTGACCTTTTGGAAACAAAAATTACACGACACTTCCTCAAATCTCATCGTGAGTCATCGAATGCTTGCAGAGAAATTTCCCTCTGAACCAAAGATTGTGACCTGCTGGTGAGAAATTAGGAAAAAAGTAATAATAATCAGCACTTTGAGATAATTATCTTCTGGGGAATATGAATGTCTAATTTCACGGCAGTCTGTAAAGTGTTTGTTGAAATATCTGGATCAAAACTGACGCTGTTATCTAATTTAAAGACCTCAAACTAAAGATGAGATTCAACATCTTAAGCTCATAAACACTGTCTTAGTT